CAATTAATTTTATAGTGATGCGATAAAAAAATTTTATCAGTTTTTTAGATTTTCAGCTTGCTTGAAAAAAAAACATTCTGATCAAACATTTTTGACAGGTCAAAAATGTCATTTTTGATCTTTTTTTTTAGAAAACTTTGACCAAAAATTGCCGTTTTTTGGCGCGCTCTCCCCTTCAAAAATAATATATTGGCGCCAAAGGCACCTTTAGAAAAAAATTAAGATTGGTTGGCCTAAAATGGATGCCATAAACCAAAACCAACAGGGTGGACCCTTTGGTTGGTGAGTGGAACGAATCTCTGAGTGGGGAGGAGGCGTACAACCTCCCCCCAAATCCGCCCCTAAAGAAAAAATTTCAAGGTCACCTTCTTCGACGGTGAGCCAATAGAACAAGTCGAAGTCGCCAATGGATTTGACTCGGGGAAGAATTCGTCTACCACTCGCATCTTCAGCTGTCGGGTGGTGTTATCCTCTGGGAAGTCTATCCTCACCTTAGTCTTACAGTTCTGGTAGTCTTCGCCATTTACACAAGTTATGATGGTCACTCTCATATTCGAATGATAGTTTTTAAGCTCTGTATTTTGTGATAAACGAACGTGAATATTCGAAGTGAAGCTATTTGGAATAACGTTGTAACAGAAATTGGACCCAACATTCAGTTATATAGTGTCATTTGTTGGTTCCTTTGTGCTCTAGTGGGGTTGTCATGGTACTTTGCTCCTATGGCACTAGTAATGGGTCAGTTAAGTACAACTCAAAACAAATCTCGAAATAAAAGAGCATTCATACTGGTCATAGTCATAGTTCACAAAGCGTTACGTGAAGAATGACAAAAGATTATAACATAGGTAGATGCGTCACTTGTTCTTCCTGAAACTCAAGCTAGCATTTGTTTTATAAGCATATATGATGTTTCTTGGTTACCTGAAATAAGCTGTGTTGAGATACTATTTGCAATGAACAAGCATTGGTTTGAATGAAGGTTTGTTTTGCGAAAACTTGGTTGACTCAATATGATCTCTTTGAAGCAAACCTGTAAATGACCAGACATTTTTGCGTTTTTGCGGCATGTTTTCTTACGCTCAAAATCAGTTCCATGCTCATATGTCATTCTGTTAGCTATCATATTGAATACTTTTGGTTGTGATTCGAACTCGAAAAAAGTTGTACCACAGCCGAGAAAATTATTTATTCATGGTATGCATTTGATTTTTTCTGATATTTAATTTTTCCAATTAACGGAAAGAATAAGATTTGAAAACTTGTATTATTTTTTAAGTCAGTTCCAAAAGTTGAAGTAATTTTAGAAATCTTTGCGATTTAAATATTTTATTTAAAGTTTTTAACGAGTGAATTTTTAAATAAAATATTTAAATCGCAAAGATTTCTAAAATTACTTCAACTTTTGGAACTGACTTAAAAAATAATACAAGTTTTCAAATTTTTCCAATCTGATATTTAATTTTTCCAATTTTCTTTCAGCAATTCGCTCATTTTGCTGCTACATAACCAATTATGTTTTCCTTTTTTTTTCTAGAAAAATAAGTTTCAAAACTAAGAAAAAAAAAATGAAATGAACTTATTTGTACTTTTTTTTTACCCCAGAAAAAAATGTTCCACTTGGCAAACAGTTTTTCTTGTATAAAAAAAAATAATTAATTTTCAAAAGTTACAAAAAAACTACAGTTTTTACTTCTAACTTTTTTTTGAAAAATTGTAAATTATTTTTCTAGAAAGAAAGGCAAAACATAATTGGAAAATATCAGATAATGGGAAGTAGTAAACGTTTTTAGTGAAACATCAGCTAGAGAAAATTAATTAGTGCTCTTGTTTTTCGTAGTCAGTGGTTCATTTACTCATTTCATGTTCATTTATTCATTTGGTCAGACCTTTATCTTCTCGAAACCCAAAGTTATCGGAACGCTTCATTGTAGCTCGAATCACTTTTGAAAGAGCTTTAAAATGATAAATCACTCACTCAGACGTATGTGAATTCTATTGAAAAAAGACACGCACATCATTTGGATCTTTATAAAAAAAATCATTCTTTGGAAAAAAAAATTAAAATTTGATTGATAAAACAATGATCAATTGGCTCGTTTCCACTCTCCCACTTTTCAAGTTTTTTATAGCAATTCAGTCATTTTGCTGCTACATAACCAATCATGTTTTCTTTATTTTTTTCTAGAATAATAATTTCTAAAGTTGTGAACAAAATTGAAATGAAATTGTTTGTATCTTTTTTGTATCCCAGGAAAAAATAGTCCACTAGGCAAACATTTTTTCTTGTATACAAACAAAAAGAAATTAATTTTCAAAAGTAACAAAAAACTAGTTTTTATTTCAAACTGTTTTTTTGAAAAATTGTAAATTATATTTTAGAAAGAAAGGCAAAACATAATTGGTAATATATCAGATAATGGGAAGTAGTAAACGTTTATAGTGAAACATCAGCTAGAGAAAATTAATTAGTGCTCTTGTTTTTCGTAGTCAGTGGTTCATTTACTCACTTCAAGTTCATTTATTCATTTGGTCAAACCTTTATCTTCTCGACACCCAAAAAGTTATCGGAACGCTTCATTGTAGCTCGAATTACTTTTGAAAGAGCTTTAAAATGATAAATACAAACAAAAAAAATTTTAAAAGTAACAAAAAACTACTTTTATTTCAAACTGTTTTTTTGAAAAATTGTAAATTATTTTCTAGAAAAAAATGGAAAAGCATAATTGATAATATATCAGATAATGGGAAGTAGTAAGAGTTTATAGTGAAACATCAGATAGAAAATCTTAATTAGTGCTCTTGTTTTTTGTAATCAAACTTAGCAGTCAAAACAAAACGTCATTAAAAGACTTGTTCTTTTTTTAAAATTGTACTGAAAACACTGTTCTTTGGATTGGAATATATAATTTAAGTTCAAGTTCTAATGTTTTTTATCTTTCTTTTCCGAATTCAGATTGAGTGGCTTGATGTTTTAGCCTTTTACCGTCGATCGAACGCTCAGTTTATTTAGGTCCTTTTGTGGTTGGCACCAAATGGCTTGACAAGTTACAAAAAACAACATAACATGAATAATATTACCAACAAGGCCGCAACCGCACTTCCACATTGTTTTTTTATCAACATACTGCTACAAAATTTCACAATACTGTTTGTAAAAGTTTTAGTATTCAGTTTTCATCAAAGTTTTTTTATCAATTTTGTTTATTTCGCTTTTCTTTTTTTCTCGTCATTCATTATTTCAGATTCACTGGTACTGTCCATGCCGCATTCCACGTATTTGTACTGTCACGCCAATCTCAACTGAACTTCCTGCGAAATAGGTGTTGCGCGAAGAAGGTGAGTCTTGTCTCTGTCGGCTTGTCCGTCATTGTCGTAAAATTTGCCAGTTTCGCTCTATTTGCTTCTACAGCGGTCTGTGCTAGGTCAACAATTAAGCCCTTGTCTAAGCTGATCTCAATCACTGAATGTTTCATAGGGTCCCCGAAGCGTTACGGCTCCTGGTTTTGTTAGCTCTTCCACTACTTCAATACCGAAAGATCTTTTTTGGCTGGATTCATAAAAAAAAACATGCGAAGTGTCAAAAAAATGGAAGTTTTCAGGCTCCTCCCTCATATTCTTTTCCCACACAATGTCTTCTGCTGTATTTTGGACCCTTATGGTCAATAACTGATCACAGGACTCTCCAATTCTTTGGAGGACAAATCTTGACACTGAAAGACATTCCATTTGTTCCAGTTTACCTAGTTCATGCTTTCAAGCATTTTTTTGGCATTTAACTGCTTGGATCTTCGGGAAATTTGATTTTTTTCCGCCTACTTTTTATAAGTGCTGATGCAGTTTTCAGTTTTCTCGATTCCGTCTTCTCTGTAGATTTGATTGTAACCTCCTACTGTGTTTTGGGTTCAGAAGAATTCGGGCCAGCTGTGTTAATTTTCTGATCTGCTTCCAGCCTCAGTGTCCGTGGAAGTGAAAACAGATTATTTCTTCTGAAAATTCTTTTGTATAATATTTGATCTTCGACGCTGATGTTGTTACAGTGTTTCCTCCGAAGACTCGCTAACCAGAGACGGTTTGATGGCTTGCTTCTGATGCTTGTGTTTACACTCTTCTGATGGACTCTTGCTTGGCTTTTGCTGCGGTCCCGCAATCTGAGCTATTTTTGATTCCGCGAGGTCAAATTTTCTAAAATCATGCCGGCTGCGGTTTTGAATGTCGATGCAGTTTTTGACAAAAGCTTTCTTTCAGTGGATTCATTAAGGCTTAGCCACTTCTTGATGCTCGTCTGTCCTTAGAATGTTTTGACAATTCACATACCGGGACTTCCTGCTTGTAATTCATGAAGCCTTCTTCCCATGAAAGCAATTGTAATTACTATGCCAATTTTGTCGCTTCTCGCGGCTTCTCTCTTCTCTGCCTTCTATTGGGCGTTATCTTCTAACAAAATAATCAAAACCCTTGCCCACTGCTTGTCTCTTCATGACCATGGCGTTAATCGCTGCATGAAAAGCGGGCTCGTATTTTAAGCAAATTTTGTTCTTTTCGATCTTTTTTTAAATAATCCCCGGTTGATTGATCCTCGTCATAAGCTGCGAAGAGATGGCTGATCTTTCAAAATCTTAGTAATCTAAACAATCAGAACGCCTTAAGAAAAATCATCAAATTATAATCCTTTTTCTGGGCATTAACAATGTCAATTAAACAGTGGTTTCTGTATGGTTTTTTGTTTGATCCATCTAAGGTTACAAAATAAAATGAGACTGCTCGTATCAGGGCGAAGCCCTTAATGTTCCGACTGCCTTTTAAGGTTTTTGGAGCCGTAATAACATGAGCAACATAAAAAATAAAAATGAAAAAAAAAAAATTTTTTTTTTAATTTGGAATTTTTTCTATGAAAATCATAACCCACAGGCCATATAAAGTACAAAACAATAAACTTCACCAGTAACAAATCAACTATGGCAGTTAAGCTTCTTTCAACAATTTGGAACCATTTCTAAGACGGATTAATTCTCCGCTTACGCGTTTATAGCGCGAAATTTATCGCGCGTAATTGTCCCAAATTGGCCAAAATGGCAATCTTTAACCCCCTTTATGAATAAGATCACAGGTGAAATATTTTTTCAAATTTGGGCTCAGGACAACAATACTTTTTGAATGATATTAAAAAAATTCCGTCAAAATGGCTAGTTAAAAAGTCGAAATTTGTCTGAAGGAAAAAAACCATATCGAAAGTCGGAACAAAAAAACCGTATCGAAAAAAAACCGTATCGAAAGTCGGAACAATAATGGGTCAGAAATTGATCAATATCACTTTATCCTCCAATAACATAACACTTAGTCTCCTTTTTTTGTTTTGATGGTCCTCTCCACCAAATCGCATCCTCGATAATTACCACCAGGCAAAAGTTTTGTTCGGTTTTATTTTTTGTTGTGGCTTTTCGCATTGCATTCTTCTTGAATCTTGGAAATTATCTGATTCAGATAAATTTGATAAACCATGTGTATCGATAAAATTACGTAGAAATCTTTTTTTCCCATGTTTTGAGCCGGTTGATTTGATAATTTTATAGATCTCTCGCCGGTGTTCACATTCCTCCTCTTCTGTGAAGTCCACTTTTACCATGTTAGATACTTCAGGTTCTAACTCTCTCGCTGTCTTGTTGTTCCTTTTTCCAGGGCTTCTTATTTCTGTCCGTGTGTCCAGTTCAAACTTGTTTGCTTCCACAGATTGAATCCCAGAATGGTAACAATCTGGTTTATTGGTTTCTCGCCCCTGGGTGTCTTCATTTCTTTGTTCCATTGTTATCTTGCTATATCCCATTCTGAACTATTTCAGTCTGATCGTTCTTTTCTAATTCCGCCGGGCTTGATGTTTTTCGTCCGTCAAATT